ACTGTTGGAGGGGGGGCTGGGTTTCCTGTAATTATCCCTGTCTGTACAGAAGCAAAAGCCCTTTGTTATAATTTGGCCAAGACTCTCAGACCAGCAATACGTTGAAAATTGTTTAATGCTGGTCATACTCTACTCATCTGCGGTTTCCCTCCTCATATGCTAGGTTCACTGAAGAAACTTGGTAAAGCTCACACTGACACAGGTTTTAGCAGCAGTAAAGGGGGGAGGAATCAGGCTTGGACTTTTTTTTTGCAGGACGCACATTTTCATACGATGCGGACACCATCCTAGTGTAAACACACATTGGAAACTTTTTTTTTTTAGTTTAGCACTTTGCTGCGCATACCAAATTGGAAAACCACTGTGTGGACGGAGCCTAATGGCCACAAACATGTGGAATCCACATGCCTGTTAACATTTGTGGCGCACGGACAATGCTACTGCTATGGTATGGAATAGATGCCAGTAAGCAGATAAACTGTCCTATAGTCAGGCAAGCCTTCCCAGACTGAGGAAGATGGGTGCTCGTGCCGCAAGTGGTTCCCTTGATAGTATGCAGAGAGGTCTCTTTGAGGCAATGCATTTTATAGACCAGTGATGGCGAACCTATAGCACGTGTGCCACACAAGCGTAGGTTCTGGGGGCCACCCACTCCAGGTTCTCACCTGAGGTGCTCTGCACAGGCCTCTGGTGATCCACAGGTCTCCAAGTCACATTAGGTTTTTTTTATGATGGCACTGCGAATGGTGGTGGCCATCTTTACACCTGGCAGGTGCCCAGATCCTATTTAATAGATTGCTGAACTGGTGGTCCAGCGGAGGATCAGCATCGACATATCTCTAGCTGATGCGGCCCAACCTGATCGTTCACTCGTGCTCAAAAGGTAGGAGCAATAAGTATGGTTGATTCAGCCAGAGATGCAGATCACACTGATCCTCCACAGGACCACCAGGATATTCCCCTAGTGCCCCACTGGACTCCAGGCAATTTATTTTAATTATTAATTTTATGGTCAATAGATGCGTGTATTTATTGGTGTTTTTTTTTACAGGTGTGCGATGTGTTTCATTACATGTGTGATGTGTCTTTTATTGTGCGTTTCCCTATCTTGCCTAAGGCAGCGATGCTGAACATTTTTAAACCCCAGACTTATTTTCAGTGTTGGCACTTTGCAACGCATAATCAATTTCACTCAGTTTGGGGACTCCGTTTCAAAGTCTTTAGCTATCACTGATCTAGACAGTTTCTGCAGTCCAACACTTTTCAAAAGGTTTTCCACATCTGAACCGAGGGCTACAGCAATTTGAGCCAAATATTCTGTGGCCAAGGTCAGTCGCAAATCAATCAAGGTCACAGCTAGAACAGGGTTAAGAGAAGACCTGCCAATGAGAACAGTGCTCTAAATAGGGACGCCAACCACTTATCTGTAGTAGGTAAGTCGCCAGGATCGCTTCTGTTGTAAAGCCGACAGTCGGCTCTACAAGTTTAAACAGAGTCCCGGCGGCAAAAGTCGCCGGGAGTCTGTTTAAACAGCCCCGATGCTGGCAACGTACACTGTACGTCGTCAGTCACGAAGGGGTTAAAGTCAGATTCTTCTTCCACTGGGATGGTGGTTGCTTTGTTAAGATGGGATGGTGCAGAATCCATATAGAGGGGGTAGACAACAAAGTTCTCTTCAAATGGGTACAAAGGTTAGTAAAGGCATTGGGGGAGAACAAACATTTTATCCAGGCGTTTACAGTCTATAAAGACCGATCCAGAATAGTGGGTGCACTGGAAAGGTGTCAGTCTTAGGAGTTCTTAACCACGTCAAGACCAGGTGTTTAGACCCCCTTCCTGGCCAGGCTATTTTTCAGTGTTCAGCACTGCAGTACTGTGAAATGACATTTATTCGGTCATGCAACGCTGTATGGAAATAAATTTTATATCTTTTTTTGGGGAACAGATAGAGCTTTGGTGGTATTTAAATCACCTTTTTTGGTGGTATTTAATCACCTTTTATTTTTTACTATATTAAAAAGGAAAAACTATTGAAAAAAACGTTTTTTTCTTCATTATATTAGGAAACAATGATTACCAATATTTTTGGTAAAATATAAAAGACGGGGTCACGTCAAGTAAATAAGACACCAAACATGTCAAGCTTTAAAATTGCACGCACCAGCGCAATCGCAAAAAACTACCATACCCAAAATTGATCATAGGCGACGCTTTAAAAGCTTTTACCGCTCATCAGTTTAGTGTCATCAGTGATTGATAGCCCTAGAATTATTGCTCTCACTCAGACATTCGCAACAATATGCAACATGTGCGGTGTAATGGGCGCAATCGTCGTTTTCACACGTATGAGCACCCAACACCTGTTTGCATGCGTGTATGTATGGAGGGGGGGGACTTAAAAATTAATTCTTTATGTGTAACTTTAATTTTTTTCCCCACTTAACTTTATTGCTATCTCATAGGGGGCTAAGAAACCCCCTTATGTGATAGCAAAAGAAATGACAGGGGTCTCCAAGACCTTTGTCACCTAGGACCCCCCCCTGAAGACCTGCTTCATCAGCTACCGTACTCTCCAGCATCTGAAGCTGGAGAGTGACACAAGAATACGGAAGTGATGTAATATACATCAGTTCCGCATTCTGACACCGGACGGAGATCGTGTACCAATCTCCCTCTGATCCCTTGTCAGAGTGGCACTATGCTGGTCCCGGGCTCGCACCGGGCACATCGGAGCCCGAGCCCAGGACCAGCGGGAGGGGGTTAGTGCACATACCGGGACCTCATACAAGCGATCCGCCGGCTCTATAGCCGGCGGATCGCTTGTATGTTAACAGGCATCGCTGCCGTTTTTAAAAATCTGCCATTTCTGGCGCACACGAGGGGGCGTGGCTGAGCGGACATCTAAAGACGCCCGCTCAGATCTAGAGAGCTCGGCCAGGAAGTGGTTAAGTATTTCGGACTAGGAACCTCACTGGTGATCCTCTAGCTTCATACAGCATCAATAAGAGCAAAAACAGTCTTTCAGGTTGGGAGCGATGAGACCGACTCAGGAGTGCATCGTCATATTTGGATTCTCGGGGTTCTGAAGGACCAGACCTTCAAAACAAGTGGGTGCTTGAAATGACCATGATGCATGGTACTGTGCCAAGTCCTGATTGGAGAATAGGAAACCACCAACACTTCAATTAAATGCTCATCACAAATTTGGAAGACTGCACCACACAAGTCAAAAGCAAACCGATGTTTTGGGGCCTCTTATTCACATGCCAATTGCTTCACAGTCCTTTTGTATGTGCTATGTTATGGTGGGATTATGATGTCATGGGTGGGGCAACACTGCAAGGCCCCGAAACTTTAGTATGCTTTGGAGTTTTGACTTGTACGATGCAGACTTCAAATAAATGCATATTGAAGATTTATTAAGTGCTGGTGATTTCATATTCTCCTCAGAAGCAGGCTCAACCAGTAGGAAGTGGAGAGACTCTGAATTAGGCAGTCTCTGGCTGATGACTCAGGAGCCACAGGCAGATCTGACAGTATGCAAGGCACTGAGGCGCGCTTCTAGCCTCTGCAAACATCTGTTTGGGGTATAATTTAATGCATGGCAGTCTGATGTGGCTGTAGAAGTCTAATTCTGAGTTAGGTAAGGCTCAGAAGATGGCAGACTCTAGGAGCAGTAGACAAAATAATTCCAGGCAGCAGACGTATGTTGCATCAGCAGGCAGTGTGTGCTAGAACACCCAAACAGTAAGACTGTCCCCCATGTCTAGAATGACTTGTCACACCTGCTTAATAATGATGAAGCAATGTAGCTCAGGGTATGAGGCAAGGCCCCAGGAGCTCCAAAAACCAAATTGCTGGTAGCAGCTGAAGAGTTGACAAAGTCACTGTAGGCACGCAGCAGGAACAGACCAAAAGGCCCGAGCTCCACATGTCTCTTGGCAAAGCCAGAGCAGCAATAGGATGATCCTTGGTCTCAACTGGATGCTAGACCAGTTCAGTAGTCTAAAGGTGCATATACACCTTGCGACGGTCGTAAGCTTATTAAAATCTTGTACAATCTGCCCATCTTGGACAGGCAGATCGTACTTGCGATCATCGAAAGCCTGCCCTGCTTAGGGGCGGGCTTCCGATCACTGCAAACGGGCAGTGTGCGCGGCTGTTGTCGAACAAGCAGGCCACTAACCCGCCGAGAATCGTACAATTCTCGGCGGGGTTTCAAGCCTGCCTGTTCGACGGTACGAAAAAGTAGTCCACTACCCCGCCGAGAATCGTACAATTCTCGGCGGGTTTTCAAGCCTGCTTGTTCGACGGAAGACGTGCGACCGTACAGTAGAAACGGTCGCACGCCTTCCCATGCACTGTGGGATTTCTCACTATTCTCATACAAGAATCGTACAGTGTATGGGCTCCTTAAGTCCCGCAATCACATCTAATAATCCCAGCTTGATTGGCTATAGAGGCTGCCATCTGGGCAGCTATGACCATGTGTCCAATAACACATTAGCACACGTTGACCTTGATTGTTACCGTTACTGTAGAGGGTACACCCATTAAGCAGGCCCAAGGGAGCAAAATGAGCAGCATTTTCTCCCCCATCTAATTGGCCACCATATAATAACCATCAGAACTTGTTCCATTGGCATATGCAGATTTAATTGAAAGAAAAGCAAAATGTACAAATTAAAGGGAGAGCCCAGACTGTAAGTGGCAAAACAGATTCAGTTTTTTTGCATCTGTACAGCTAGCTAAACCAAAATCTATTCTAAATGTGAGTATATACACAAGAAAAAAAAAAATATCTTTATACAAGTCTGTACACAATAGTTCATTGCATGAAGGCCATTCTCCGTTACCCCTCAGCACACTGCTATGTCAAAAAATAAAATAAAAATAAAGTGCCCCTTCCCAAAAAGCTTCCTGGGCAAGTGAGAGGATTCCTCCTTCACCAGACTCTGCACCGGTATTAAGCAGATATAAAGGGGAAGCATACTCTCTACTTCACGGCCCATATCTAAACAAAAACAGAGTTGAGTAGATGCGTCTCCGGGTACAAGACACCAGCCATTCTCTGCCTGGAAGGGATCAGACTGTTCATCACCAGATCGTCCGGCTCCACTTCACTGTCTGTATTCAAGCTCATCCACACTGATCACTTTAGCGGGCATAGAGGGCAAGGGTTGCTGGAGAACATCAGATCCGAACCATTTAGCCAATCCAACAGGAGAAGAACTCCTCTGAGGACGCTGATCCATTATATGCACATTGGGCCGGTTTGACAAACCTTGTGACGACGCGTGCATGCCAGAGAAGTTGTGTGTGCCAGATGCTGGGGGGGGAAAAATAAAACTATGTTTTAAATATTATTTTAGAGTCAAAAATAAAGAATATTCCTTACACATCCTATAGTAGTGTAAATACATTGCAATATGAATTACTAGCTTGTACTACATGAAAAAGGCTGTCAGCATATTAAGCGGTTAGCCTGGAATATAGTTCTGAATTACAAACCAATAGTGAATAGGGCAAGGACACAAAGTGAGAACCTGCAGTTCACACAACTGCTAGCCACACGGGATAATGAGAAAAACAAAAAACCAAACCACACAACCCTTCAACAGCCCTCAAGAGGTGGCTGTCCCATTATCAAATGTAGCTGCACTGTAATTCATTTTGTATAATACACATAAAAGGTTTCTGTACATTAAAATATCCACCATTTTTCATCAAACATGAATAAATCTTAGTACCTGACCGATGCACGGACTGCTGCATCATTGCAAGTTGTAGAGGGTTTGTAGGGCGCTGATTGAGAAGTGGGTGCCCTGTAGGTGCCAGTGGGTAAAAGGGTTGACCAAGGACAGATGGTGAAAGAGCATGAAGAGCAGACAAGTCAATACCAGGAGGCAGCAGTCCTTAGGAAATTTGGAAAACAAAAAGTTAATAGAAACAAAAAAAAACAAAAAAAAACCAGAATGGGATCTATAAAAAAAACCCAACAGGCATACAGCATTTTCTAGAGGAAAGCTTAAACCCTCAGATTTTTTTAACATAAAATACTGTAATGTGTGCCTTACTGTAATCAATGGTAGTTTCCCTTCTCTTTGCTGCTCTTCCTTTTAAATCCGTATCTCTTCTCATGCTTGGGGAGAACTTCTGTTTTGCAGCAGGCTGCCTTGTCTCAGGAATGGATACGCGGTGTCTGTATAGGTTTGTATAGGCTTGTAACCTGAGCCAGCACTACAGGAAGAGGCCCTGAGCTGAAAAGGGAAGTTCTCCTCAAGCATGAGAAGACATGAGGATTTAAAAAAGGAAGAGCAGCAAAGAGAAGGGAAACCACCATGGATTACAGTAAGGCACACATTACAGTATTGGTTTATGTTAAAAAAATCTGAGGGTTTAATGTCACTTTAAGCAATGTCATCGAACCTGTAGTGCCGTCATGCATTCACTAGTGTATTATAAGACACAGGCAATAAATCGAACACTATTTAGCACACAGTATATTACATTACACCCCAGGTTTCAGAGTAGCCAACTTTGTAAAAACCTCTTCAGCTAAATGTTTAAAAATACAGTAAATATAATCTAGCAAAGGGGAACCAATTCACTAAACAGATTCCCAATAAGATTGTTAACGCAACATACAGCTAAAACTCAGAGTAATTTTAATTTCCATCTAAAATCAATAGATACCCTTGTGATAAACCATATATCCTTTGTATGCATCAGTGTCGTCTTCCTGAGATCCTGAGCAAATGTACAAATCATGAACAAAGGATACAAGCACTGACTGAAGTAGATTTGCCTAGGTAATATAGGACACCTAGAGCAATGCAGCTTGAACAGGGAACGGAAGAACTAACCTGTCTGCATGCTGTGTTCCTGTGACAGGAAGTCAGACACTTTTCTATGTAGAAAATAATTAGCTATAGGAGCAATAACTACATGCTCTTTCCTCACCATTACTGCACCAGTTTAAGGCCCCACTCGTTCATTCTAACCTTTCTGCTCTGGGTATGCTTCTCTGTGCATTGCTTACACAACATAAAACAAAAATAATATAAAGGATATCAGATTTTAGGGAACTCATTAATTGGACCTACACAGGATAACTACCCCTTTCACAGATATTTACTTTCCTTGTGCTCCCCAACTGGAATCCTGTGAAACACCCCTGTACTTTTTGGTATGTGGAAACATTCATCTCTCCCCCTTTCTCCCACAAGGCAACACATGGTACCCCACGATGAGGGGGGGGGGGGGCTTTGGGTTTTTGGAGGTGGCTAGCATGGTTAAACACAAAAAACAAAACCCCCACACACACCTACTGACCTGCCTGTAAGAGCGACAGATGTTGTGGAGGAACTCCCTGTGCCAGCATCTTTTGCACCAACCCTGGATGCAACTGATGGGATGGTCGAACAACTGGCGCAACAGGTACCTGGTGGAGAGGGCGTAGGAAGGAAGCTCCAGGCACCTGTGATGTCATAGTAGGAGTTTGCCTCCCAGTAGATTTGGGACGATAGTCCTGGTCTTTGGTGTAGCGATTCTGGTGGGGTAATGGTGGGGTGCAGCCAGAACGTTGAGATGCTGGAAATCTTTGTCCCAGCAGTGGAGGAGAAGTGCCTTGGACATGGTCAGATACTGGACTAGTTAATGCTCCATCTGTAAAAGAAAAAAAAATACCCCACAGACCTGAGTCTTAAAAGCTAACCGGCATGGAAATTTCTCAAAGTGACATTAAAGGCAAATCCTTTCTGCACAGGTTATAGCGATAATGTCACTTGTAATATTACAAAGCAATGTCGGACTATAAAAAGGGTTTTGGTGCACACAAAGATTTATATTTTTGGCTACCAAGATGTCTAGAGAAATATTTTTGCGCCCGAAATTCAGCGTTAAATGCATTACCTTCTTGTCCTCTTCGTCCCTCCTCTTTCCCATGAGCATTCTGTTTTCCCACAGGGTCATCTTTGCACTTCTCTTTGCTTTCATACATTTTGCGGATCACTGAGGTAGGTGTAAAGGATGGAGAAAGCTACAAAGAAAAACTAAAATTACTCTATGCTAGAGCAGGACAAAAAATAAAAAATTATATTATCCATCTATAGCTCTGTCTCAACATTGTGAATCCACCCATACACAATTTGTCAGCTACTTCACAGTATATGGCTAATCGTGATGCCAAATGATTCTCTGCAAGACCACATAAGCAAGATCATTACTTCATTACTTTGTCAAGGTTTGAAACGGATCAAT